TCAAAAAAGTACTCCAGAGTGTTGTTCAGCATGGGGGTGAGTAGAAAATGAAGGCTAATCATGTTTTGGGTGTACTATTCCTTTAAGGCTTTTTCTTGATGACACCAAGTCCTGATCTGTTAGCACTCCAGGTTAGTTCAATCACTCTCACACCACACGTCAATGGACGCAGGAAGATGAGAACAGATAGAAATCCTGCAGCACATGAAATAACTCACTTGTCCTGCCTCCTTCTTGCTCGCTTCAGAGGTTAAAGAAATACACATCATCAAGAAAGCACTGAACACACAGCGTTAGGCTCTTTGTTTGCTCTGAGATGTTGCAACACCAACACTGTGACTGCTGTGCTTAGATATTTACTTTAATGGGTTTCTCCAGGTCTCCTCCACACAGCGACTGCAGCGGGATTTTAAACGGCTTCCATGTTGGGTTCAAGTTATTCTTCACCACCTGAAAACAAATTTCGGGAAAAATCATCAACACGTTTCTAACTCTAATGAAAGAAGACGTATTTAACTCCCTAGTTTCACAATAACTTCACTATGTTGCTCTTGACCCTTTGAAGGGCACTCAGTGAAATACTTTGAAAAGCCAAATTTCAAGCCAATAGTGTTATTGGAATCCAGGAGAATATGGAAGAAAAAAAGTCTCATTGGAATCTGCGTTTTAAACATTGAATTTTTATCTGGTAAAAATTCACCAGAAAAAAATTCAGCTGCAAATGTGTTGACCTTTTGGTGAACTCAAGCCAAAGCAATCTACACTGGATAGAGTCGAGCAGCTTCTAGCCAATGAGATTAGTTCATTTGGTCACGTGACACAATGGCTGGGCTCAGCGCTGTTCCCGGCTGAATGAGGAATTTTTTTTTTTGTTAAACAGAATTACAAAACGTCAGTTAGCTACTAACAGACAGCTATTAGTGTTTTTCCTCTTATCAGATTGGGTGAAACAACTGAGGCGATCACAGCTAGTACGGCACCCCTGTCTGCCAAGGCTCTTGGTTTGATCCGGAAGAAGCGGCCGGAGGCAAACTTTTTTTCTTCTGCATTTCGGCCAGCGGATCAAACCAAGAGCCTTGGCAGACAGGGGTGCCGTACTAGCTGTGATCGGCTCAGTTGTTTCACCCAGTCTGATAATATAAAATAATATCAAATATATTTCAATATTTTTTTGTTTAAATTATAATCAATTATAAAGTACAGTATATATTTAATGCTGAAGATGTTGTGAATATAGCTAAATATAAAGATCATGGATAGGGGATTATATCCAACTATTTTTTATTAGATGCCCATCCAGTCAGCTGATTGCATCTTTCTTTTAGATTAGATTACATAAGGCCTTTTTTTCCACAAACAAAATAATGGAGGTCCTTTTGTAAGGAGGACCTAGAGAATCACTGAAGGTAAGCAGCTGCCTTCTGTAAATCTAAGCAATTTCTCTGATCTGAGTAAGATTACAATTTCTATCAGAATCTGCTGTCATGTCTCCTGGTTATTTAATACATATAAGTTATGAAGTGTAATTTAAATAGTTTGAATAGGGGATTATATCCAACTATTTTTTATTAGTTGCCCATCCAGTCAGCTGATCTTTTAGATTAGATTAGTTTACATAAGGCCTTTTTTTTTTTTACAAACAAAATTTTTCCTTTTGTAAGGACGACCTAGAGAATCACTGAAAAACAAAACAGACTAAGTTCAAATTTAACATATAAATATTGCAATTTGAAATCCAATTTGAAAAGCATTTTGTAATTGAACATTTTAAATGTAATTATTATAGAGGAACTGGACATTTTCTTTATTGATCAAACATTAAACACTGGAATTTGAAAAGGTATTTTCAAATCCAGTTTTAAATTATTAAAAAAAACAAATTCATTGTAAATACCTTTCCTTATCACACCTTTTAAAAAATGTTATTTTTTATTCCATTTCAATTTTTTTTTTTCAACTTTGATTTTAAAATCCTTTTACAATAGTGAAATAGCTACTTCTCAACTGGTTCCCCTTTCAGAGTCTAAGTGGAAACCGGATGAAACAGAGGAAATTATTGACCAACATAACTTTGCCTGCAATCAAAGTTATGTTGGTGCATAACATGAGAATCAACAATCCATCTTCTCCCGCTCCAGGCTTAACCGTACGAGAAACGACCCAAAAACTATGCTAATGATTGGGTCGGCCAATCATGGTGATATCGTGTCAACAACACTGTAAGGTGGGACATAGCTTCCATAGCTCTGTAAAATCTTATCAGGCAGAATCAATTTCTTCTTTAGAAGTAGAACAGCAAAATGTCTTGATACAATATTGATTGGAAAAGTTGTTTGTGCTTTTTTCCCTCCTGTCTGGCTAAAACCAAATATTAGTAGGTGAGCAGAAGCTGTCGCTTCTCCCAATCGGCTCAGAAAGCTCTGCTGAATGTCCCTCCTAAAACACTTTCAATGCGTCAGTAAATACGCCATTTACAAAGTGTTTCAACCCTGTATGTTTACGGATAATTTTAGCAGTCTGTTGTTTTTCTCCTTTAATAAGGTGTAACAGTTTCTAAACATGAAGTGGTTTGACATTTTACTGTGAAAATTCTGAATAAACATCCGAATAAATGCTTTTATTTTGATGGTCCGGCTGCATCATCTTTGTGAAGTAGTTCACACTTGACAACTCCTTCTCAAACAGTGAATTTTACAGTTTTTTAAAGGGGTTCCCGACCCTTGACCATAAGTTGGTGAATTTTCGGGAACATTAGAATGCTGTTCTGCTAAACCTTCATTTATAACCTTGGTGTCAAGGCAACAGCAATGGTATTTTGCAAGAGAGTGAAGCCTAAACAAAGGCGCTCAATGGAGCACTGCTGCTGCTGTAGATGTGAGGTGTAAGCAGAGCAATTAGGTAATGATGGTTCAGACTGTAAAGTTTTGAAAACTATCAGACGTATCTGGTTTAGTATTAACATATTACAGCAGCAATGAGAACAGAAATACGACTGCTGTAATCAAACGTGCAAAGCTCCTACACACCACACAGTAAGATAAATGTCAACAAGACAAGGAGTGAAAGAGGTTTGTTCAGACGTTGGGGATGAGTTTTACCTCTGTCCTGTGGGCCAGCTGCCACCCGGTTCCTGTTTGTCTGTAAAACTCTAAATAGGGATCTGACTTCCCGAAGAAATCCTACAAAACAAAATGAATAGCAGTGAAATAAGGACCAAAAAGAAGGGATTAAAAACATTTAAAACCTTACTTTGTTATCCAGCTTTCTTGCCTCCACCTCAAGGTTTGCCACCCGGTTGTCTTTAATTTCCTCTGCAATGATCTACGACACAAATGTTGCATAAATGCGTTAAAATAAAGGAATTTAAAAATGAACGTTTTCTCTGTTACTCTCTTTGAACCTCACAGTGATCGTCCCCTTTCCAGCTGGCTTGTTGTTCTTCAGCACCAGCGGTCGGGTCAGTTTATTACTGGAAACAACCTAAACACAGCAGATAGAAAAGAGCTTTTTTACATTTTAGCAACTTAACAAAAAGAACCACTATCAAATCTAAGATTTCATGTGGTTGTTTTGTCCCAGAAGAGGCCGTCTCACCTGACCCAGGGTGCACTCCAGCTCCCCCAGGAAGTCGTCATCACTCAGGTCAACTGTCTTGTTATCGATGTCGTAAATCCCAAACTTCAGCTTCTGGACTATTTCAAAGTAGTAGTCGATGACAAACTTTTTGGCAAACTTTGGATTGAGGCAGTTCTGCACTCTTTCCGTGCGTCCCATCTGTTGGGAAAGATAGGACATAGCCGGGTGACGAAGGGGAAGCGTTGTTAGGCTTAAACAAAGCTATAAGGAACATGTGAATAGATATATACGACGGTGAAATAGCACATGGGAAACTTCACCAAGTGGGCTGTAATAATTAACACAATGATATTACCAGGTAACACAGTTGAATGCACAAATAAGTCACTGGAAAGGAGGAAAAAACGAGCCAGACTCAGTGATTCAAGTGTTGTAGAAACCCCTGCAGCAACAATGAGCTGCTTAGATTGTGACATAGCTGTAGAATTAGCACCAGTTCATTGAGGTTTGCACCCATTTTAATCAGGGCTGAGGTCTGGACTTGGACTAGACCATCTTGCTATTCTGTTGCATATCTGCTGCTCTGTTTGTGATCTTCTGAAGATCTAAATGTGGATAGATTGTTCAGATTATTATACCACCAAATTGGTTCATGGTAAACTTGATGCAAGAAATTGTAAGGATTAGGTTGTGGTTTGAAGACCCAGGAGGCAGGGAGGCAGAGGTGAGTTTCTTGTTGATTTAATGAAATGTAAACAGACAATTGAGGCAGGAATCCAAAAATCAAGCATGCAAAAAGTAAAACAAACCAGAAACCATGGAGACTTCAGAGGAGAACAATCACGACAAGAGAGACACAGTGAGACGGAGTTGGAGGAAGTTAGACGAGGAACCAGCACTGAGGAACTGCACAAAGAGTGTACCGGTATTTATGGGAGACTGAACAAAGAGAAGAATAACGAGCAGATTGGGAGCAGGTGTGAACAGAGCAGACTGGAAAGGAGCTAGGGAAAAAGGAGAACACAAGAGGGCAACAAATAAAAACCTGAAAACGGAAAAATAACCAGAAAACACAACAAAATAAGAATTAAAACTAGAAATCTAGAAAATAAAGTAAAGTAAAACTGAATACTCAAAAGAAAACATAACAGAAAAAATACTGTGACAGAAAGAGATTAGGTAATATAGTGGAACCCCGGCGGAGTTAGCAAACAGGTTGGTAAAAAAATTTGAGATGCCACCGAAAAATCTGTTTGTTAGACATTCAGGGCTTTTTCAGCTAAAAAAGGCGACATGTTGTAAGTTTAAACAAGTTAGTAACATAAGGCAAGAAGCTTGAGAAAAAATAGGAGGACCATGACTCCCAATTACAGGTTAAAATTAACATGTTTTCTTATTGTTTAGACCGACAGAATCAGACTGTAGAGCTTCTACATATCTTGAAATTTTGTTTCTGGCATCATTATATTAGTAAATAGGTTCACAAATCTTTTTAAACACACTGGAAAAAGTATAACCTTGCTCAAACTTAAAAAAGAAATGATGTCCAGATATCACATCTAAAATATTTGACTTCACAGAATCTGAATTTAATCACTTGTTATGACCTGATTATATTATGTTGATGTAAACAATAATACTGCACTTGACACAACTTAAAATCTTTGCCCTGTTTCAAATGATTTTCTGAACATTTTAGCTGATGAACCAAACTAATATATTGACATTGGACCAACCTAATATACTTACTTTTAACTAAATTGTTAAAACAAGAATTAATGTTTGTATAGAAACCAGTTAATTTAAATATAACGAAATTAGATTTTTCACATATCATTTGACTTTACTTCAGAAATAAGTTCCATTTCCCATCTTACAAACTCTATACACCCCAGACAGGTTGCCAGTCCATTGCAGGGCAACACAGGGCTCCTTGTACGTGTATTTAGTTCAGGTTACATCAAACTTGATGTCTCAAAATCCAAAAAGAATGAGTAACAAATCAATCAATAATTTCATCTAGTTTAGAGTAAAAAGCATTAGTTTGAAGGAACAGTTACATGCTACACTTTTTTCAGTGCAGAGCACAGAGAGAAGTTGGGAGAGCTGCAGATTTAAAGTTGAAACAGATTTACTGGGATATGCTACATGCAATAAAATATATCTCCAAGGTTATCAAAAAAGGTACAAGAAAAAAATACGCTATGCTATATTTAAAATGCAGCATTTTCATTATTTTCCGGAAATTGTACTTCTAGGGATGCATAAGATATTATTTTTGGCATCGGAATCGACTTTTATTCATAACTTTTTTCATGCATTGATGTTTTTTTGGCCCTACATATGTAATGCACTAAAAGGCATCTCTTTAACATCTACAAATATAAATATCAGTGCAAAATAGGACAGCATTCAATAAATAGATGTTTGAGCTCATTTCAACTTGACCTCTTTACTTCAGTGTTTTTAAAACTACAGTATCTATACTTCCACTTAAATAACAAATGTTTTTTTCTTTTGACACCACTGTCAAATACTAACCATGTGGAAATACTTGGTGTGCTTTATTTTTCTGAAACTTTGCAGTGGAAACCCATAATTGATATACAGACAGTGATTTCAGCATCAGTTTACACTTTAAGAGAAAGAAAAACCTAATTTAATATTTAAATCTAATGTTAGTTTTAAGAATTTCCTGAAGAAAGTTATGAAAACTTACTGTTTGCAATCACTGATTCGTTTTCTCTGTACTCTCTACAACAATTATTCACAATTTACGATTTTACATCCAAAATATATTATATTACAGTGAGTTCTCTTCACATTACTGACCTCATACCACTGGGAGTCAGAGCTGCTCATCAAAAGGACGCACAGGGGGTCAGATTTGGAGCCGATGTCTCTGTCCAGGAGATTGTCGCAGGACACCGTGAGCTCCACCTTGGTCACACACTGAGCAGCCATGTCTTCCTGTCAGCAAACTGCCACAAAATTACACCAGAAAAAAAAGCGTAGTCAATAAAACTGTCCACATGAAGGAGGACTGTATGTTCTTTCGTCTACTTTAACTTTGGGAGTCGCCCCTGCAGATGCGACACACACCCAGTCCGTTACACCCACCATACAAACCCAGCGTAGATAAAACTGGAAGCTAACGCAGCTAATAATGCGTAAGTTTAAGAAAAACAGCTTTGACGTAAGCGTTGTAGTAGCGTAATAATATAGCTGTTAATTATGGCGGATGAAAAACATATGGAAGCGTACGTATAAAAAAAAAAACAAAGTAAACAAGAGCTAGCAGGTAAACGTGACAATTAGATCTAATAAAAAATAACTTTATATATCACGTCAACTTCCGTGTTTTTTAAAGCAGATTTAAACACGAGCTTACTGTAGGAGACGGAGTAGAACTAGTTGTCTTTAGATTAATCCGCGCTCAAAGTGGTGCGGAGGGATTGTCTTCGCCCAGATTTGATCCAGTGGGTTTCCTGGTGTCTGGAGGTGATCTGCCTCGTTCTTGAAAGAGTCGGGGAGGCGGAGCTGTCACGCGGAACAACGTCACTTATCGATAGCTTTCAGTCATGGCTGCACAGTTTCCATAGGTAGAGGCGTGGAGGCTGAGGCGGGTTTAGACTAAATTTACTAGAGGGAAAGAAAGGGTGGGGCCACGGTTTTTCTTTTTTTTTCATGCAGAAACTAAAAGAAACAGAGAAAGAGCGCATTATTTAGGTTAATAAGAGAGCCATGGTAAGAATTAAAATGATCAGCTTTTCTACCAGTGTATATCAGGGGCGTCATCTGACCCAATGCATTACAGGGGCACAATAAGGCACCAAAAAAAAAAAAAAAAAAAAATGCGAGCAGGCAAAGCGCCGGAGCAAAATTTTTTTGGGCAATTATTTATTTTAGAAAAAGCATGGGCACAGATAATTATGGAAGCCCGTTTTCGCCACTCTGTAAAAAAAAAAAATAAAATAAAATAAAATAACATATTATTAGAAAGCATTGTAATTAAATTGTACAATCTGATTGTTATTTTCTGAATTATTAAATAATTATTAAATAAACCAAATGGAACTGGCCCACTTGTGAACTTAACTGTATATCTCTAATCCACTACTGATGAAGGCACAATTTCATCAACTTCATTAAATATCTGTCAGCAAACATGAACTTGAAAACTGAAAACTTGAAATGTGCAACTGTAAAAGGAAAAACAAAAAAAAAACCTCTACATACATACATACATGTCTGTGTTTCTCATTTCTATTTGAGGAGGTGTGTATATCATGGCCAGAAAGATGGGAGAGCTGTATGTTTATTTTTTTTAACAGCAAACGTTAGCGTCTCGGCTTCATTTTTGCCAAGCTAGAGTTCTCCTCTCTCAACCTCGCTCTGAGGGCGGAAAATTCATTAATTAAAAAATCTGTGCCCCAGGCACCGCAGATCCACAACGGGGCACATGCCCCTGTGAAAAGGGTCTGCCTATGCCGATGATGTATATATCATCCTAAGAAATTACGATACACTGAAAAAATTATCCGATTAAGAAAAACATCCATAAAATAAATCTATTTGCGATGAACTCGAGCAGGTAATAATAATTGAAATGTATTGATCTCACAGTGGAGAAATTCACTCTGTGCACTTAATCCATTCCCTTCGGGAGCAGTGGGCTGCCATTGTGCGGCGCCCAGGTAGCAGTGTGGGGTTAAGGGTCTTGCTCAGGAGCCCAGAGTGCAGGCTGTAGGGATCGAACCAGGTACTTGCAACTTTCTTAGAGGACAAGCGCACGGCTCTAACCACTAAGCCAATGGCCTAAATATCGGTAGGCAGAGACTGCAGTTGCTTAGGAGCCCACAACTGACACCTGGTTGGCCCCCTACACAATTGTAGACTAGGACGACTCTTTGCAGATGAAGTGGAGCGAAAAATTCCGTTCAACAAGCATCTCCCTGAAATCAGTTTTTGGAACTTGGGATGTCTGTAACATGTGGTGATGGTTCCATTTTTCCGCGTGTGATCATAAACTACTGAGAATTGCATAATTGTATCTTCTTGGCTGATTTATGGAACTGTCGCCGTATCCTGAGCCTTTATCACGTGTTGTACTTCATATGGGGCCCACCCAGATAATATTGCTTACAGGCCTATTGTTGTGTTGTTACACTATTGTACTAGGCCATCACTCCCCCCTTAAATGGGATGATTTATCAAAGGAATTATAAGACAGCTCGATATAATGCACTTGAAATAAGGTAATTGAAGGTTTTGTTTTATGTAAATCATCTCAATTCATCGTTAAATTGTGTTTACCTGTTTAAATCAAGGGAAATTACACCTAATTTAAGGAGAAAAAACATTTTTGCAGTGTTTGTTTTCAGAACAGGGGCCAGGATCTGCTCTATAGGGGCCCCTGTTGGCCCTTGTCTAGAACCGCCCATGCGTGAAGGCTGGGCTGCACTCCAATCAGTATTTTTTACAGCACTGCAATAACAAGCAGGGGAAAGGAGTCCATGTTCAATTTGAATGAGTAATCTCCTGTTTTCAATAAAACTTTATATGACTTGGAAAATGCTTGTTCTGATTACAAATATCTTTCTCAATAGGGATTCGCACAAATTGAACCTTTCCATTGTATCATGGAAGAGTCATATAAAGAATGGTGGAAAAAACTGCTCTGGTCCAATTAGTTCAAACCCTTGGGAAGGGTAAAACTATGGCTTTGAACATACAGTCCACATTGTGAAACATGGTGATGGTAGCATCATGCTGTGGGGATGCTTTAAGAAAACATAACTTTTAAACATAATTCTTTGCTTTTATTTAAAACAGTATCCATGTATTCTTTAAGAAGAAACAGTCATCTTGATTAAATCATCATTACCCATCAGACATGGCTATAGGAAGTAACAACTCCTCTTTTCTTTGGACCCGGTTTTGCAGTAGATACATTTCAGCTTTGTTTTGACGATTAAAGGAGTTTGAGCAGCAGAAGTGAAGATCTGCTTCATTAAAAAGCTAACTTTTGTTGGGGGATATCCTCAATCTGAGAACCCTAAAAGGTCGATGGGGTTTTGAAAATTTAAAGCAACACATATTTTTTTTCCTTTATTTGAAAACAAGTCAAAAAAGTCTGATTGGTTTAAAAACTAAAGGCTGCTCAATGAGACCAAAGCTGGGTGTTAATACAGAACAGTGCTGTATCATCAGCATAGAAATGAGCAGTGATGACTTAATGGAATAGTACACCCAAAACATGATTAGCCTTCATGCCGAAAATGAAGGCTACCGGTAATCATGTTTTGGGTGTACTATTCCTTTAAGTCAGCTTTTAAGTACTGAGCTTAGATTTAACCCTTGCTGATCTCATTACCTGCATATTGCAATAAAAATTTAAAGAAATGTTTTTTTTTCTCAATAGTCCTTTAAGTTTATATAATTCAATTCAGTTTATTTATATAGCACCAATTCACAACACGTCATCTCAAGGCACTTTGCAGTTCACCAGATCATACAGTCAAATTAATTCAAAGTTTTCTATCTAAGGAAAACCAGTTGATTGCATCGACTCATTGACTCTTCAGCAACCCCTCATACTAAGCATGCTTGTAGCGACAGTGGAGAGGAAAAACTCCCTTTTAACAGGAAGAAACCTCCAGCAAAACCAGGCTCAGCGTGAGCGGCCATCTGCTGAGGCCGACTGGGGTTCAAGGAGACAGAAGCAGAGATACAAAAAGAAACTGTAAACAACTGTAAAACTCTATAACCACAAATGAGTTGCCTGAGATAAAACTTTAAATTAATTACTAATTCAAGGCTTAATCCCATTCAAAAAACATTTTGTCCGGAGAATGACAATGTAGAGAAACGTCCAAGTCGAGCTAAGACTGAAGATTTAATTTTATTATGGATTTCATGAAAAAAAGATTGCTAAAAACAAAACAAAGAAAATGTATACAAAAAATACAACATAATGACTTAACATAGTGACTCAGAAAAATCTGTCAGGTCAGGTTATCCCACCAGGAAGAGTTAGTTACTTAAGAGGTTACTTGTTACAAACATGCTTCAGTTACTATATGAGGAAATTTAAGTTTTCATCACCATTTTTAAAGCAATCTTTAAAATCGATACTTTCTAGATGTGAATTACCCCCCTTGTCAAAACGTTAATCTCTGTATTGACGTTCAGCATAGACATTAAATATTAGATTTTTCCACATTATTCATGACAGTATGTCTATACTTCTGCAATATAAGAGTTTATTATAAGACTGTTAACTTTGTTTTTCTCATTGCCTGTCTTATAATCAATGTTAAAAGAGCAGGAAATAGGTGATAAAGAAAGCTAAATGTTGTATTATTTGTTGTTGTTTTTTAATTATTTCTTTAGTTCTTTTTTCCAAAATAAAAAAAAACAGAAAAAGAACTACATGTAGTTAATGTTTCCATAATCTAAATCTTTTTAAATCTTTCCCATATATAATCTATCTTTAAAATAATTATAGTAACATTATATTATAATCTATTTATCTGATCATGTTGATTTCTTTAATCTTTTCATAGCATAGAGCAACAAAATCCAGACAGAATAAAAACATATAACATAGATGTATTACATAAGGCAATACATGTAAACAAATTAATGAGTCAAAAATAAATTTTAACATACCGGTACAAAATTACATGCAAGGATTACTCGAAGCAAACTTAAACATTTAAGACAAAGTGAACAAATTTGTTTTTAGTGTGTAAACAAACATATGGATCAGGTCTCATTAAGCAAATGGTGAATCAGCCGTCCAATGGAAGCACCACAGGGTCAGCTAAATAAAACAACTCGATTTCAGTACAAATGATCATTAACTGTTACATATGCATCGGTTCATTCTGTAAACATTTGACCAAGCTGCTCGCTTTCAGCTTCAAATCTATTTACATTTTCTGGGACAACACAACGTATAAAAGCCGACAAAGAGGTGACTGCAGTAAAAAGGGCATCTGGAGGAAATACAAAAAAAGACACAAGTGAAACACTTTAAGGAGTTTATATGTACATCTGGCTTTAGACGTGACAGACTAATCAGAGGGCTGTTTTTAGCTGCCTCAGTTCTTAGAATATAAATGTACTAAAACATTTATAAAAAAAATAATAATGAATCTGGCACTTGAGTAAGATGAAGGTAAGCCCTATAGTTTTGCCTAAAATATCATAACCTATAGGCCTCAGTGTGGCCATAATGTTGATTTTAGTGTTCAGTACCAATTATTTTGGTGTCCAAATTCTATATTCGGGCTATTTAGGTTTAAAATATTTCACTCAGATATAAAGTTAAAAGTCATGACTGACGCAGAGCAGAATAATCCGTTTATATTTCTTTGACAAGTCTGGCTCAGCGGAAACGTAGTAAAACAGGTCACTGATTTATCTATTTCATCTTTATAGAGAAAAAAAGACTGCACCAGAATGAGATTTAAAAAACACAATTTAAAGATCTTTGTATTTAAAAACAAGTGACATGATGAAAAAAATAATAAAAAAAATGGGTAGTACGTTTTGTCCAACACTTCCTGATCGAAGTTATAAATGTTATTTATCAGTTTGTTAATGACCTCCCTATCAGCAGAGTAGCGCTATTTAACAATTAAACAAACAGGCATCACATAAACTACTCCTAAATAAATCCTGTTGTATTTTCAGGGTTTGGCAGCGGTGTATTTTTTTTGACTAGCATATTCAGTGGTTACAACCCAGAAACTTATGGGTTACAAACCTAAAGGTAGTGGTGTCTTTAATAAAATATAGACATTCTTTTTTTAATGTTAGTTTAGTTTGATGGGTTTTTTTTTATGTAAACTAGAATAATTTAGCATATTCTATTAAAATATTAAGTTGGTTGGTTTCACCTTCACTTGTGTGCGATATGATGAGCTTTCAGACATCACTGTTTACTTCCTCAAATGGCTAAAACATATTTTTAAGGATTTTAATCTCTGTCCCTGCTACTTCCAGTATGATCCCTGATGTTGTTAAACTTATGTTGTAAATCATTAAGTAAAAACAGTCCCTTCCATGACCTGTTGGTTTGCTGAAATTTTAACGCTAAAAGAATTGGCGAAGACTCCTGAACAGGTATAGAAACATCTTCAAAAAAAATGGAGTGATAGTCTGCTTACTTTTGATGTAAACCTGTTTGGCATTTTAAACCGTCTCAAAGCTCCTCTTGTTTTCCAAAAAACAATGGAGAAAACGAATGTTAAACAGTTGAATCCTTGGTTGGGCACTGGTGGTTCTGTGGAGGTTTTCCAGGTTGGTTTTAAGCATTTAGCAAATGACTCTGGAAGCGCTGGGATTCTTAACGTAGAGTTTGAGTTGGTGAACCACACTTTTCTCCATTTATATCTGTGATATGGACAATAAGGCTGGGATAGAAGGTGTAGAAGTGGATTGGCTTTGTTCCTATCTGAGAGAAGGAACTTTGTGTTAACGTTAATAAAAATCTGCTGTCCACCTCAGCCCATCTTTCTTGTGAGGTTCCTCTGAGCAGTTTTCTGTCCTTGTCTTTTATCTTTGTACTTGCTATCTTTTGGAGTGTATTTTCAACAAAATGTAACTTATAGTATAAAAGAGTGCCACCTTGCCCTGCCTCTGACATCCACATGCTCCATATAAAGCTGCTGTGAAGAGGTTAAGAATGGGAAGGCTCTACATTTTGGGAGTGTAAGCAAAATTGTAATTTTCTTTAGGTTTAACAGCATGTCACACAACCTGCCTGGTTGCCTTGAGTTAACTTTAAAGAATTATGTAATAAAATCTATCTTTTCTCCCTGTGGATGACATCATTCATTTCAATATGGTGGCTTATACATCCTAAATAGTCTTTTATCAAACAAACTTGGAAGAAATTGGGGTTTTTCAGTCGAGGCTCCCAAACATTCCTTTTATATATTAGACATGCAGCTTTGCTCCATTTTTCAGTCTCTATTAAAAGCAGTTGCCATGCTCTTTTTATTGTCTCTGTTCTTTTTCATATGTATTCAGTATTCTAACATTTATTTAATATCTGGGTTCTATATATATATATATATATATATATATATATATTTTTTTTTTTTTAGACGCACCGACCCAGTTTTATCCTGAACTGATCCGATACCAATACCTGGGCTGAGCATATCGACCAATATCCAATTCAATTGTTGAGTTAAGTTATATTATTTGTTAACAAATAAGCAGCAAACAGAAAGGTCAGTTCCATGTAAAATGCACATGATTGGATCACGGATAGCTGATATCAAATCAACAATATCTGATCCAGCTAATCAGTCCACACCAGAGCCGATTTCCTATCCATCTAGCTATTCAATATCGGAGCCGATATCCGATCAAGCTAATCAGTTACTATCGGAGCCGATACCCGATGGATCTAATTAGTCAATATCAGAGCGGAAACTAGATCGATCTAATTAGTCAATATCGGAGCCAATACTAGATCAATCTAATAAGTCAATATCGGAGACAATACCCGATGGATCTAATTAGTCGATATCGGAGACGATACCCGATGGATCTAATTAGTCGATATCGGAGGCGATACCCGATGGATCTAATTAGTCGATATCGGAGACGATACCCGATGGATCTAATTAGTCGATATCGGAGGCGATACCCGATGGATCTAATTAGTCGATATCGGAGCGAATACCGGATCGATCTAACCAGTCAATATCGCAGGCGATATCTATTCCAGCTAGTTAGTCAATATCAGATCAGATATCTGATCCAGGTATCGGACCGGTGCATCTCTACTTTTTAAAATTGTATTTTTACACAGCACCTTGGGTAATTGTGCTACATTTAGATTGTATATGGATCTTTGGTGGTAACTATGGAAATTGGATGTATGCGAGGTAGAAATATTAGAAAACAACCTCACTGTGTAGGAAAGACATAAAACGACATGGATTGATGATCTGACACAGGCAACATAGAAAAAAGCTGTATATGCTGGTTAATTTACCAGATCGGAATTACTGAAAGACTGTCTTATAATATTCATTTAGACCTCACATATAATATGTAATACATCATATTAATAAAACTTAACCTGTTAAATGTGAGCATTGTATAAAACGTGCTGTTTAGTATTAAAATAACTAAACTAACTTGTCCTTCGAATTGCGCAGCACATGCTAGAAAGACTGGAACATCTTACAAAGGGGTTTTAAAGTTCAAGGGTCATGGCGTTTGTAGAAGGAAAAGGTTGGTGCTCAGTGTGCATCAGCTGGGGGCGCTGATGCCACGTCGTTATAGGTAGGAGGAAGGTCGCCGCAAGGCGGGCTCAGACTCATCGTTTTGAAGAAGCCCGCCACCTGACCTGGGACTTCTGCCAAGACACTCTGAGCAAGAGCTTCCCGAGGAGACTGAAAAGAGAGGAAAAAGGTATGGTTACATTGCAGGGTGAATAAATATGCAAACTTAATATCAGTGGCGGCCGGCCAATAGAGTGCGTTAGGGTGCTGCCCCACCCACCCACCCACCCAAGGACCCTCATTAAGACATAAGAAAATAAAAAAAAAATTGTTATGATTTAATTTTAAATTAAATCTTTAATATTTTGATATAAATTTGTTAGATGTGCAAGATAAATATTTAATCTTTAATGACTAGTAAAGCGTCAGTCCATTTTTTGCCAGGTTGGTGACATATTTCTGCCCTAGGGGGAACAATAGGTGCCCATTGACTCTTGTTAAAAGTTGTACATGCGCAGTAGCTCCTCTGCAATACAAAGGCATAGGACAGCTCTGGGTGCAGGAGAGCTGTGCCTCGAGGTGACAGGAAGTTTATTTGCTCACAACCTTCCGCCACAGTGCAGACTTTTTGCATGTGATTGAAAGGTCGAGTTGCGGGAGTTGGAGACGCATTGGAGAGAGAGAGAGAGAGATAAATGGCACCAGAAACCTCCCTATCAAGGACCTGGTTTAGCAAGAAGGCTGGGCTAACTGCATGTAGCGAGGCTAACACTTTATTCTGCTTTCCCTGCCTCCTTTTTCAAACGTCAAGATCTGACCCAGAATGGATAAAGACAGGACTGATTTAAAGTTGCCTAGTAAACTAGCCCAAACCGCCAGCTGCAAAAATTATTCTTGGCTGCGAGTGGTCTAGCCTCGATCAATGCCCCAGGCCCTAGAACTGGCGGGCCAATCACAATGTAGAGATGTGTTCTGAATTTCTGGATGCAAAGCAGGCGGGCGGGTTTTGAGGGTGTGATGACAAAGTTGCGCAACGCTGGAGAAAGCACAACAAGGAAGATGGCAACAACTATTGAACAGTTCTCGTTTGAGATAGCCACGTTTTTAAAAAGTTATATCTAAGAAAATTTTCTTTATTTTGGTAAAGGCAAAAAAATCTAGACACCATAACTGACAAAAATTCTAATTTAATATCGGACAAAAAAAAAAGTGTCTTTTTACACGCCGTGGGAGAATGTCTGGTTTCAACCGTAATAGCTATAATAAAATATCAAACATGGTTTCAGAGAACTGGAAAGCCTGCGATTGATAAACCAGCTCATTTAAAATGATCTCTGCTAATGAAGTCAGGCAGGCGTAAGGACTGTCGCATGATCAGGCATGAGGTGGACATATGATAAAGATGGCTGCCTAGAAGCATGCTGCTGTGGAGAAATTCAGAGGAGAAAGGAGGAGAAGAGGTTGGGAAGGTCGTACATGTCTAGGGAGGACAGGGCTCGCTGGGGGGCTTCAGCTCAAACATAGTGAAGAAGGAGGCCACTTGGTCAGGCAACTCTGCCAGAACGCTTTGTGCGAGTGCTGCAGTGCCTGCCTGAAATAAGATGTGCGACACTTAAACATGAACATGACGCCGAGCGAGCACGTGTGCAACCTTTGTCTCCACGTGTAAAAGCTTACATTCTGGAACTGCCTGAACGGCACAAACTGCACGATGTCCCTCATGGCGGCTTCGCCTGTGGCCGAGCGGAGGTTCCCATCGTCTCCATCCAGGAACTCCATGGCGGTGAAGTCAGCCCCTCCCACCCCGACGATGATGATAGACATTGGCAGCCGGGAGGCGTTGACGATGGCTTTCCGCGTCTCGTCCATGTCGGTGATGACTCCATCGGTGATGATCAGCAGGACGAAGTATTGCTGCAGGATGAAGGAGATGTCACAGAGGATCCAGGGAGTTTATTTCCTCACATTACCGGGTTCCATAGAGTAGCCTGGTCAGTTAGACCGACTTACACAGAACGTAAGTCAAGTCTGGTAAGCCTCTATAAACCGACCAATCACAGCGTAGGTGGCGAGCCAATAATACAACTGTTCAAAGATGTGTTATTGATGCCCCTTATTATGTCCAAAAAGAGAGTTTTATATCATATATATTCAACATCCGGCTACTGTAAAAGGGTTTTTGTGTCACATCTGTACTGATCTGGTTCTAAACTGTTTCCTCTGACTCTGTTGGTCCCGCCTTCGAAATCAGGCTGTAATTGCCCTTTACAGAAATAATATACCATGTAAATGGCATAAATTTACCTGTCTGGTTTGGCTATCAGTAGAGAGCATTAATGTTCATCAAATTTCTAAGTTTTCCAAGAAAATGGTTTTATTTAGTTAGAAAATAACCCAAAAACCATGAATCTGTTGAGCTATCGCCTAAAATCTCCCAAACATGAAGTTTAAAATTACAGCTTTTATGTTATAACAATGGCGGGTATCTTGTTTGCAACTCACAGAGGCGGTTTGCTGCTGTAAGGCTGCTCGGCCAAATTGGGCGACGTGGTTGATGATTGGAGAGAAGTTGGTTGGACCATAAAGCTTCACCTGAGGCAGACACTGCTGATAGGCATCGACCACCCCTTCTATGCCTACAAAAATAGATACAACACAAACACAATGACTCCCATAAACAATCTGGATACTGGAACATATTGACCAAAACATGTAACGGACATTTTACACAAAACTTTAACTACCAGTCAGATTTTAAGACATGTTTCTATCTTTTCTTTATTATTTCTATAAACTGGTCATCAAATGATATCGCAGTGACTCTATGAAGACTTCTCCAGCCTCTCTTAATGTTGCTAAACAAGGACAAGATGCTAGCATTACCTGCACAGAATGGATTTGAAGGGTTGAAGTTGATTGGAAACTCGTGGCTGACCTGCAGACACCAACATTGGATCATTCAAATGTGAAAGGAATGCATGGGAATAAGAAACGTCGATCCAGGGCGAGTTTTATGTCATCATCAAATCATCTGGTAAAGAACACCTTGAACAGTTACCTGCCAACTTGGAGGGAGCTGGGCACCAAAACCAAAGGCAGGGAACATCTTGTCACTGTGGGAAGGAAGTTAGATTATCAATGCAGGTACATCCATAATGCTAGGACCAGGTCTGACCGTGTTTTTGCCTTCGGGAATGCCTGACTTCCCTGTAGCACATGCCAAACAAGATGGAGGAAACGTTTCCTCAGATGTGATGGACCAAACCGGCATAACAGCATCATGCCGCAGTTAATGTTTGCTGGATATCCTTGAAGTGAATCCAGTCAATTAATGAAATTCTGTCTATTTATATAGCGCCAATTCACGTCTCAACGCACAGATCTGTTTAATTTTTTTGCTAAACTGACATTTCTAAACTTTCTATTCCTTTTTAAAATAAAGTAAAATGCAGGTATATTACAAATTGGTGACAACATTTATAATGTTCAACAACATAAACCGTTATGAACCTGTTATAACCAAAACAAGCGCTTGACAAAGGAGTGAGTAATGTCTAACGGATACTATTTGAAAAGTGTAGGAAGTGTTATAGCACCACAATCAAGTGAATTTACCAATAAAAGTGACATAATTCAGGAAGTCAAACAGTTGGCACTGCTTCAGCGCTGTGTGGAAAGTAGGCAGTTATCAGGTACAGCGGATGTGTAATTCCGTTTAGTGTAAGTTTGAGATTGCCTTCATTGATCATTAACATGGTGAAATATTGCGTTTTTGTGGTCTGCACAAACTCTATTGAATGATGCTGCAAAAGCAGCGGATGTTCTACTGCTGGTTCCAGTAATGGTGTTTTTTTTTAATGCTCACCACCCAAGATTTTGCAATATGATTTGTTCCCTAGCTCTAAAACAAAAATCACCTCTCAAAATCTCTCTGAATGATTCCACTGATTTGGAAAAAATAGCAGAATGCTAATGGAATAAACTATTAAAGGTGAAACTTTCCTCTAACCCAGCCGTCCCCAACCACCGGGCATTTGATACCGGGCCGCACAGAAAAAAATATATATATATATATATATATATATATATATATATATATATATATATATATATATATATATAAAATTTATTGACGATCAGGGTCTGATTGATGCTTTATTTTGAAAAATATAAAAAATTGCGGTATTCTCTCCCAGTTACATCAGTCGGTGCATCTGTGCCTCTTGACACAGGTTAATTCAGTTCAAGACGCATCCTATCTATAACATCCTATCTTTGTGAAGCGGGATTTTCTGTGGTTACAGCGACCAAAACAAAGCTACGGAGCAGACTGGACATCAGGAGCACACTTTGTCTGTCATTTTCTCCGATTGCGCCTAGATGGGACCGGCTTGTTGTTTTATTTTTATGCTGTTTGTATTTGATTTTATGCCAGTAGTATCATTTTACTTGATCGTATTTCCCCCACCCCCCCGGCCAGTCCGTGAATATATTGTCTGACATATAGCGATCCGTGGTGCAAAAAAGGTTGGGGACCGTTGCTCTAACCCACTAACTCTCACTGATTTCTCCTCAGTCATACATTTTTTATTTAGAGGAGAAAAGTGAGGACGAAGTTGCTCTGGAAGAGGACGCCAGGGCGGCAGAAGCTTGGTTTGGTGTAGAAGGCTTACAGCCGTACATGTTTGAGCCCTTGCCTCGCAACGCTGCAGTTCTGTTAGCTCTTTCTTATTTCAACCGTTGCTTATATTAGCTGCAACATATGACAAGATGACAGTTGATATAAGATTGGCCAAATTTAGGTGTACAGGCTGACGTATAACTAACTGGCCTGCATAAGATAACGGGAAAAAAACACAGATTTTCAGTCATAGATTTTAGAAAATTTTGGGACAATGTCGTCTGATAAAGGGTACATTTATATAAATGTTTAAGCCAGAATGATTTGACATTTAAATATGATTTCCCTACGACTTTAACATGGATCACATAAGACCGCTCAATTCAAGCTTGAATAAACAAGGGAGTCGTAGCAGCAAGTTATGCGCTTCTACAAGCTTTCAAACCCGAGGGAGAGGTGAGGTTTTCTGCCATAGCTATCACAATAGCTTAGGGTTTGTTAAATTAATTCAATTGACAGTTTGCTCCTTATGAGATTACTGTACCTGTTGTGTCTTTTTATGTCAAATCTGAGTAGGTTTTCCTAAATAGAAGCCATATTTAACGTCTTTAACCTACCTATCATAGTCCTGGATGACGTTACCAACAGCCCAGATGGCTGCCAGATACTCATTGTAGCCCTGAGGGTTGATGTAGTGTAGGGACTGGGGTGACTTGGGATCCCCATTAGAGCCCGTGAAATCGATAGCAATCTGCCCCAAACACAGAAAACGTCATCATTACAAGGACCTTCAACAAACCAGGAAAAACACTTGAGACATTTCTGTCTGGATAGATTTCAATAGAGAAGTACTTACTGTGAAGTTGATCTGACAGCCGCCCATGATATAATCCAGAAATGTGTACTCCTTCAAAATCTATAGAAAATAAGGAGAGACTTATTTTTTTACTTAAGACTTCCATGCTCACATTTCCAGGAAGGGAAGAAAAGGAAAGAAAGCAAGAAAGAGCCATGGGAAAGGAGGGAAACCAGGAGGAAGAGAGGAAAGGACACGATGTAGGAGACAAAAAAGGATTTAAGAAAAAAAAGGTCAGATTTTTAGTTATAAATAAGGAAATAAAGTCGCAAAACAGACACATAAACAGACCTGAAAAATACTGAACTCATCTTTTAAACTGTTAGATAAGGATCTCTGAAAATCTAAATCTCTACAACTACTGAAAGTAGGGGCCGTTATAATGCTGCATAATGATGAAGTGTAAGCTACCACATAAAAAAATGGACTTTTATTTGTTTCTAGTCATTTTCAAAGCTTGTATGAAGAGTAGATAAGTAACTAAAACTAAGTAAAGGGAGAACAGGAGGCCAGACATCCCCAGTGAGGTTTTCTATGACCACATCCCAGTCATTCTTAATTCAGAAGAATAATATCATTAATGAGAAGGAAGAAAAACAGTATTAGTTTATAGGCGGAGTGAGAAGGTTTAGTTTACGTGTATTTCTTTCTTAGGAGACTCTGATCTCCACCTTAAATAATAATAAACCAGACACTGCTAGCCTTCAGAGAGGAGCTGGGTCTATGCTATATATAGACACCTTGAACGTTACTGTTTACTTCCTGAAGTTTTGTGCAGGTGTACAACGCTGGAGGGAAGCGTTTAAAGCAAAGTTTAGTTTGAAAAGAATGTGCAGGAAGGATTGAAAAGCATTTTAACACGG